CACACACACACACACACACACACACACACACACACGCCCAGGGCCGGTGGCTCCCGGAGGGGTGGTGTCCCTGGCCCCATCCCAGCATCCTCACCCTCCCCAGGCCCCTCTGCCCAGGAGGGGCTGCCAGCAGCCAGGTCTGTCCTTTATGAGGTCCTCGAGGGGGGAAATGGGTGAAAGGCCCGCCTTTAATTTCTCTCTTCTTGCTTTGGGGAGTTTCCATAGAGGGAGGTATTTGGAAAGTGGAACAATCTGCTACGCAGAGCAGTGCTTTCTCTTCTTAGGGGAGAAGCCCTGGCAGGTCCCAGGGGCAGCGAGGCCAGCGAGGCGCAGAGATGGAGGGCTAGGCATGTTTCTGAAGTGTGCTCATGGAACCCCCCCGCCCTGTAGCTTCCTCCAGTACCTCTCCTCAGACCCAGCTCCCCTTCCTTTTCTCTCCCGTCCCCTCCCCCTGACCCCACCCTGACCTCCGAACCTCCTGACCCCAGTGTGTCCCTGAGCAGGAGGCCCAGCCTGCTTGGCCCTGTTTGGCCACGATCCCCACACTGAAGGGCAGGGCCAATTCCCGGCTGCCAGAGGCCCTGCCCTCTGTGGGCTTGGGGGGGAACTGAGGCAGCAGGAGGCTGGGAGCAGGAGTGGGCAGCAGACAGTGGCTGGGCCAGCGAAAGGCCTTCGTGTCCCCTCCCTCACTCTGCCTGCTCTCCTGAGAGGCACTCAGGAGCATTTCGGGGACCCTGAGGCTCAGGGAAGGCGAGCCCCAGGGACCTCTGTGTTCCCAGGGGCCTGCCCCGCCCCTTCCCTGCCACCTGCCCCCTCCAGGAAAACTGCTTCTGCTGGCCAGAGCCCCCTGCTCCCCAACACCCCTCCCCCACCCCACCCCCAGGCACTGCCAGCTGGTCCCTGTGCTTGGCCATGGTGTGGGGCCTGTGGAAGCCAGGGATGAGCTGGGCCCTATAGGCCCTGGTGAAACTCCCAGGTGGGCCCCTGAGGGATCTCCCTTCCTCTGCCGGCCCTGTGTGCCCACATCAGAGGCCCTGCCTGACCCCCAGCCTCTTCCCCGTGAGGTGAGACCTCAGGGCCCCTGGAAGCCCAGGTGACCCGGGTGAGAAGGTACTGAGAGCCTGTTTTATCCAGCTCGGGCTACCATGATAACAAATGATAACAAATTATCATAGACGGGGCGTCTGAAACAACGGACATCTATTTCTCACAGTTCTGGAGGCTGGGAAGTCAAGATCATTCTGAGGCCTCTTCTCTTGGCTTGTAGACAGCTGCCATCTCTGGGTGCTCACGTGACACCTTCCTTGCACGCATGCACAGAGAGGGGCGCTCTGGAGTCTCTCTTCTTATAAGGGCACTAATCCCACCATGGGGACCCCACCCTCCTAACTTCTAACCTAATTATCTCCTAAAGGCGCAACCTCCTAACACCATCACATTCGGGGTAAGGCTTCAACACATGAATGTGGGGGGAAGACAAACATTCAGTCCATACAGAGCCCCTCAGACCCCCTTGCCCCAAGATGGGAGGGAGTTGGGCTGGGCTCTGGCCTGGCACTGTCTCGGCCTTGCTGTGCCATCTACACAAGACGATGGTGGTTTCGAGGCTCCCCTAGATTCCTTCCCACTCTGGAAGTCAGGGGTCTAGTAAGAGTGACCCTGAGCTCCCCATGGGGGAACTGTCCCCAGAAACAATGCCCAGCCTCTCGCTGGCAGATCCTAAATGTTGGTCAGCCTGTTTCCACCTCTCCCGTCTCTGGCAAGCAGATCTGTGTGATCTTGGTCCAGGCCTTGCCATCTCTGAGCCTTGGTCTATTGGGCTGCAAAATGGGTGGTGGGGGTCGGTGGTGAGGAGGTCTGAGCTTGCCCTATCTCTGGCTGGCCTGTGAGCCCAGAGTCCTGACCCCAGAGACTCCCCCCATTTGACCCCACTGGCACCTACTTGGCATCAGTCCCTGGCAGGCCAACCTAGAGGCAGAGCTGAGGGGAGGGGTCCACTGGGCCCCCTCCAGCCACTGCAACTTGGCCCAGTTGAGCTCTGCCAGGGGAGGGCTCAGAGGGCCAGGTCCCTTGGGGAAGGAGGGAGGGCTGAGGCAGTTGCAGGGCAGGGTCCCTTTGTGCTCCCCGGGAAGCTCCCCTCCACCCTACTGCCCCCCCCCTCCCCGCTTGGCAAAGCTGACGGCAGGAAGAACCCCGTCGGCCATCCGTCAGGGAGACAGAGTGGGCCCATTCGAGGAGGGGAGCCGGGAAATTTGATCATTAAGAAACCCTCCTGGCTGTCTGGGGGAATTTAATTAAATTGCTGGAGAGGGCTGTGAGAGAGGGCCACATCTGGAACCAATATGTGAGCTTTGATTTTTTTCCCCTTCGCTCCTTCTCTCCCTCCCTCCCTCTTCCCATCTCACTGCTGTAAAAGGGAACACAGTAGACCCCTGGAGTATTGGTTCCTCTGGGAGAGAATTCCTGGCAGACAGAAACAGAGGAACACCAAAGAGTGAAACCCTGGTGGAGACACAGACAGAGGCAGGAGAGCAGGAATGGGAAGAAGACGAGGCGGACAGGGAGACGGGACAGGGAGCCTGGGAGGAAGATGGGGGTGTGGCCGGGGTGTGGCCGGGCTGTGCCCTGGGAATTGGCTGTGGCGGTTTCAGCAGTGACAAGAGGTAAAGGCCGACTTCACTGACCAGGAGAGTACGTTCCAGAAGATTCCAGAAACCGACACACCCCACCAAGAGTCCTGTGGGTGGCAAGCATTTGTTAAGCCCCAGCCCTGCTGGAAACACAAGTCACGGGTGGTTCTTCCCGACACCCCTGTTATGATGCTGTTATGAGCCCCATTTACAGATGGGAGGCCAGGTGACCTGCCCAAGGTCACAGAGCCCAAGAGTGATCGATGGTGCCAGGGTTCTATCCCAGCCTGTCTGCGTCCCGTCTAGACATGCTGCCTGGGCCACTGTGATTGCCGTGACTTCATATGGCAGCTATTAACTTCATGCTTTCGGGTGCCAGGCACCAGGCTAGGCTGTTGGGGCAGCTGGGTGGAAGGCAGGCACGAAGCTCCCAGCAGGTCCAGGAGGGCTGAGTGCAGAGCTGGGACAAGCTGACTTCACCTGGGCAGTTGGCAGTGGTGGTTAAAGTGGGTCCTATGCTTGGTCAGCCGTTGGCTGAGATTGGAGGTGAGTATAGAGACCCTGGGGTCTCCCTTGCCCCTGTAGGGCAGGCCCCTCCAGGCCCCAGGCCCCTGCCCTGAGCTGGGCCAGAATGGGTGCACATGGGTGTGGGAATGGCTTTTTGGACTTGACCCCCATGGCTGAGCCAGCCACGTTGGCCTAGTCCCCCCTTTCAGCTAGTTCCCCGCACTTAGCAACCACACCCCTGGTCTCCACACTTACCATTTCCCCCAGGTCCCAGAGCCCCCAGGCCCCAACAAGGCGCCTAAGGCTCCTGCCAGCCAGGGCTGTAGGGGAAGAATATAGTCTCCACTCTGGGCAGACAGCCTCTGGGGTAATTCCCGTCCTCCCCTAAAATCTAACACCTGCCCTCCAGCCCTCAATGCCTAGGGGCCCTTCCTTGATCCCCCCTCCACCCCCAGCCCTAAAGTCCAGCCCTGAGTTGGACATCCATCTTTACTTCCTCTGTAGGCTCTGAGCCCCAAGGGCAGGGACCAGCTCCAACCTGGTCCCCAGTGTAGCCTCAGGCCCAGCCCAGTGCCAGCCCAGGAAGGAGCAAAGTACATATTTGTAGAATGGATGTCTCATGACCTTGGGGCAGGCAGAGCAGTTTTAAAGTGCAGTTTAAGCGCTTGGCATGGAGGAGAAAGTAAGGCACCATGAGACCCAAGCAGGAGGCTACTGCAGGTCCCAGCCCCTTGGAACAGGTAAGGTTGGAGGCTCTATGGGTCCTTTGCTTGTGCTGGGTCTCCTGCCTGGCTGCCTCTAGACCCCACCCCCTGTCACCTGCTAAATCTTGCTCAGCTTCGATGAGAGTGGGCTTAATGCCCCTTCCTTAGGGAAGCCCTCCCTGATACGCCTCCCCCAGCCCACTCCCATGGTCCCTTTCTCGCTGCTTACTTCCCTATGGAGATTGGCTTACTGACTTCTCTGCAGAACTGGACTGTGTGTGGGTCACCGCGCTATTCTCCGCGCCCCAGCCTGGACCCAGCACTGTGAAGGCACTCAATAGAAACATGTCGATAGAGGTACTAAGGCCGGCATTCAGGGGCCGCCGGCTTGTGAGCTGGGGGGAAGTAGGGGAAACAGCACAGGTCCTGCCCTCAGGCTCTGCTTTAGGTCTGGGGAAGCAGAAACGGTGATGATGGTGGCCACCGCTGTCAGTGGACATGTGCTGTGTGCTGGGGACCAGGCAGAGGGTAGGAATGTGCTGAGCCAGGAGGCAGGTGAGGTGGGTGGGAAGGTGAGCACCGGAGGCCAAAGGGCTGTGCTAAGACCTGGGTGATGGGATGGGAAGGGGGCACAAGATGCGATGGTCAGGGCTGCACGAAGGGAGCAAGTGAGAGCCGGCCATCCCCACGCCGGCTAATCCGAAACAAACCAAGATGGAGAGACGCGGGGTCCTGCTTGGAGGCCCTGACAGGGTGATGATATACAGAGTTTTAAATAAATGTATCTCATTAGGGACGCGTTGTCTGGCGGGAGAAAAACGATGCGCTTCCCCACCTCTGCCTCCCGTTTCCAAAAAAAAAAAAAAAGAATCCAACGCTACAGCTAAAAAGGAAATTGCATTAACACAGATTGTTTTATTTAAAAAACCTTGACCTCCACTTCAAAAAAAGTCATTAGACATTCTCCTTCTCAAAGGCCGCCGGAGCGATTACGGGGAGGCCTGTTCATTTCTCAATGACTTACTGTTCCTGAGCTGGGGAAACGTGCGAAGAATCAGGAGTAATTTAAGGCTCCCTGCAGAAAGGTGTGTAAATCTTTGCATTGTCTAAAGAAACTTTACCAGACCACTAAGTCAGAGGAAAAGAAAACTGGAAGAGCCCGCCGCCCCCCCTCCTTTTTTTCCGTTTCTTTCCTTTGGAGCTCTGATCTCTTTGATCATAAAAATGGTCATATTTCACCCCCAAAATATCAGCAATCAGCGAACTAAGGAAGTAGGAGCCCAGGGGGAGTTTCACCGCCGATTAGGCCCTTGGTTTAATTATTTAACGCCTGCCTGGATTGTGCAGGCTGTGAACACACTCTCCTGGCGTGGGTTCAAGAGCAAGTTATAAATAATAATAACTATTACATCCCCAATTAAGCCGGGGAGCCGAAAACCTCATCCCGTCAGTCCTTCAGCCCCGCCTTGTGCTCAGCCCCTGTGCCCCCATCACTGCACGTGCCCCTCCCCTGCTGTGCGCAGTGAGAACCACGCATAGCTCACAGCTCCACTCACTCCAGAGGAACTGCGGGGAGAAACATCTGCGGGGAGCCCTCAGGCCCTGCCTTCGCCCCCTCTGGGCCTGAGGGCTCCCCTGTGCCCTAGCCCCTGGCATCCTTACTCTGACTCCCAGGAAAGGCAGAACCAGAGGGGGTAGGACAGCTCCCCAGGAGAGCATTCCAGACAGACAGCTCCAGTGTGGGGTGGGTCCCAGCCTTGGGCTTGGTCATGTCCCCTCAGCCTCAGTTTCTCCACCTCTAACAGGAGGGAGTTCCTCAACAAGGGTCATCCTGGGAGTCCTGTTGGTCTCAGGAGCCCAAAGCCCACAGTGCTTTCAAGTTTAGTTTTGGTGTTCAGGGTGCCATGGCGGGACTTGCAGCATCTACTTGGAGAGACCTTCCAGGCTTTAGGGCCTGGTGCTCACCAGGATGCCTCAGTATACAGTAGGTGCTCAATAAATTTCAGTGGAATAAGTTGTTCAGGGCCACCTCCCTAGGAAGCCTGCAGCCCCCTGAGGGCAGCGGGGGTGGGGTGTGCCCCATGTCTGTGTGACTTAGACACCAAGCTCTGCCTGTCAGCATCCCTGCACACAGTAGGTGCTCAACAGGAACTTGTCGTTTGGCCTAGACCCAGATCCAGGTCTGTCCTAGCCCTGCTGGGTCCTCAGAACCCCAGATTCACCTTAATGCCACTTTGGCACCAGCCCTGGCACAGTCCACCAAACTGGCCAGGTGTTTCCTGACAACGAGCAATCTGATCACCAGCCATTCACTCTTGGAACAGCTGTGTATGGAGTCCTACTATCTGCCAGTTCAGGGCCTGCATCACTGCTCCTTTCTTCTGTGCAGGCTCTGGGACACAGGGTGGAAAGTATAGAACAGACAGTTTACAGACGGGAAGCTGAGTCTCGGAGAGGGAAGCTCATGGCCCAAAGTCACACAGCAGGTCCTCGCAGGGCCGACCTCAAATACATCCAAGTCTTCTCACTGGGGACAGGTCCTCTCTGCTCTGACATCAGCAAAGCCCTTTTCATACCTCCAGCTGACATTTATTGAATATTTTCCTTGGGCCGAGCTCATTTGAGGATTTTTATTCACATAGATCACTTCGTTTGATTCTCAAAATTACCCTGTGAGACAGCTGCCATTGTTACCGCCAATTTACAGATGAGGGAACTAAAACCCAGAGAGTTAAGCGACCCAATCAATGTCACGCTGCTAGAAAGTTTTGAGCACAGAGCCACTGCATCAAAAAGATTTAAAACAAAACCCGGAAAAACAGAAAGTCACATGAACGGATAGGAAAAGAGAAGCCAGCACACTGACTGGCCACCTGGAGAGGGAGGGCTGCTATGATTATGTCTTAACATTAGCTCTGGGTTTCCTGGCAGCCAAAGCAAAAAGCTCAATGCAATGGGTTGCCCAAGTCTCATTATCTAGTTCATTCTCTCTCTCTTAAAGGAGGGATCATAATTCTTCAAGAGAAACAAATAACTTCCTACCCCTGGATTCTCATGGAACAACTTGGCACGGTGGCTTAGGAGCCTGATAAACTTACCGGGACACAGAGCTTGAGCTCTCTGCGTCTCGGTTTCCCTTCCTTGCATGCTAACGGTGAGGATGCCTCAAGACATGGGATGTGGTTCAGTGCATCTCCTGGCTTATAGCAAGGCTCATGAAGCAANGGATAGGAAAAGAGAAGCCAGCACACTGACTGGCCACCTGGAGAGGGAGGGCTGCTATGATTATGTCTTAACATTAGCTCTGGGTTTCCTGGCAGCCAAAGCAAAAAGCTCAATGCAATGGGTTGCCCAAGTCTCATTATCTAGTTCATTCTCTCTCTCTTAAAGGAGGGATCATAATTCTTCAAGAGAAACAAATAACTTCCTACCCCTGGATTCTCATGGAACAACTTGGCACGGTGGCTTAGGAGCCTGATAAACTTACCGGGACACAGAGCTTGAGCTCTCTGCGTCTCGGTTTCCCTTCCTTGCATGCTAACGGTGAGGATGCCTCAAGACATGGGATGTGGTTCAGTGCATCTCCTGGCTTATAGCAAGGCTCATGAAGCAAAAGCCCCTGCTACTATGGGCTCATCTTTAGATTTGCAAGCAGAGCCGAAACATTTTTCAAAGAGGTATAATGTTTCAACTCTTGCCAAGAGCTAAGGACCAGTCACTTCAGTGAATACCCTGGCTAGGAGATCCTTAGGAAGGAAAGCGAGGCTAGAAGAAGCTTGGGCAGCACGCTGAGGGAGACAGCCGGATGTCCTGCGCCATTGGGTTCAGCTCCACTTCCCACAGGGTGGACCTGGGTCTGGGATGAGCAGGGAGCCCTGCTGTGATCGCAGCCTGACACAATATTTACAGAACCCTGTGATCTGTCATGGTCACGCCTGGTCACGTCTGAGTCACATTGGCCGGCAGTGTTTATGATTCCCCAGACGTGCAGCAGTGAACACGATTTGGCCTGTGCGCCTCTGTGTGCTGCCCCTGCTAAACTGTCTCCTTCAAAAGACTATGTGGCCGTGGAGGCTGAGCAAGTGAACCAGAGCAGCTGCAGGCTTCCATGTCGTCCTTGGTCTCTGTTTCCCCATCTGTGAAATGGGCCTGCTCCTTGAATGATCGACAATCAAGTGTCTTGCAGAGGTTGTTATGGCTAAAGAAAGACACTGATGTAACTCCATGAGAAATAAAAAACCATTCCAATAGAAAATCGGGTAGTGAATATGAACAGACTTTTACAAATAAGAAATGCATATGGCCATTAAATACCAAAAATATTTACCTTCAGCAATAATTCAAGGTATGCAGATTAAAAAAAGAAAATGCCTTTTGACATTTAAAATCAATGATCATTACCTCTCTTCCTCTGCGCTGCCTACAGAGATGGCAACCATCTCCTATTTGGCATCATGCTGCCCTGAGACCCCTTGTGAAGCCCCAGACCATCACAGAGAGAACCAAGAAGTTCAAAATCAAGCGTAACTGGCAGAAACCCAGAGGCATTGACAACAGGATGCAGAGAAGATACAAGGGCCAACTCTTGATGCCTGATGTGGTTATGGGAGCAATAAGAAAAGGAAACACATGCTATCCATTGACTTCCGGAAGTTCCTGGTCCACAATGTCAAGGAGCAGGAAGTAACTATTTTGCTGATGTGCAACAAATCTTACTGTGTGAGATTGCTCAAAGGTTTTCCACAGTGTTTCCTCTAAGAACTGCAAAGCTCTGGGCGGGAAGGGCAGCCAGCCGCCAGTCGGCCATCAGAGTCACCCATCCCCGGAAGTGAACACACAGCTCATGTGTACTTTCAACTGCAGTTCTATTTGTGTTAAATACAACCATAAAAATGCTGTCAGGGATAAATAAACAAACAAAATAGCTCATGCTAGCAAGGATGCAGACGCAGACACTCCCCCCCGTCCCCCCCCCCATGCCAGTAGAAGTAGAAATAGAAATGGATATAATGTTTCTGGAGGCTCTATGGCAATGTCATTAAAAGTCTCAAATCTTAGACCCAGTCTTTGACCCTGTGCCTTTCTTTCCTGTTGGCTGCTGTAAAAAATTATCACAAAGCTAGTGCTTCAAAATTATGCAAATATATTATCTTACTATTCTAGAGATCAGAAATCCTGGGCTAAATAAAATCAAGGCGTCCTCAGGCTGCATTTCTTTCTGGAGGCTCTAGGGGAGAGTCTGTTTTCTTGCCTTTTCTAGGTCCAAAGGCTGCCCACTTTCTTTAGTTGATGGCTGCTTTCCTCCATCTTCAAAGCCAGCAACATCCAGTTCTAGTATTTCTCACATAGCACCACTCTGACACTGACATGTCATCTATCTCTCTCTTCCACTTTTTCTTTTCTTTCTTTTTTTTTTAGCTGAGCCATCCTGCCACCTGTTGGCTGCTCAGCGGCAGCTCAGCTCGGGCAGTGAATTGAACCGGCAACCCTGTTGCTCAGAGTTTGCACTCTTGAACAAGCTCCTAACCAACTGAGCCACTCGGCTGGCCCTTCTCTTCCACTTTTAAGGACCTTTGTGATTACATTGGGCCCATCCAGATCATCTAAAATTATCTCCCATTCTTAAAGTCACCTGATAGGCAAACTTAACTCCTCCTGCTACCTTAATTCTGCTTTGCCATATTCACAGGTTCCAGGGATTATGATGTAGACATCTTTGGGAGGCTATTATCTGCTTACCACATCCAGATATCCTATTTCTAGGCATTTAGTAGCAAGAAAATAACTGGATGTATAGCAATTCTGAATAATGTATCACTAGGCTTTCATTAAAAACAGCAGTGGACAAGACTAATGACACAGTAAGCAAGTTATTAAAAAGTTGCTACAACATAGTTCCACTTTCACAATTCATGTGGTCATCTTTCGCCATCTATCTAGAATATAGATTTAAGCTAGGTTCTAAAATTAGAATCTAGAAGCCTTTTTTTCTTGTGTTATTGCTTTTTCTAGGTCTTCAACTCGATAGTGAATAAACAGATGATTATCTTCCATGTCTGTCATTGAACCAACTTTAAAAAAAATGTATGGAATACCTATTATGTCAGAAATTTCTGGGAGTGAGATCTATGTGATTTTTATTTTCTTAATTTTGCTATGTTTTCTAAAATCTCCACAACAAGCATATTACTTCTGTAATAAGAAAGTTAGCATTTTATTTTAGTTTAGTTTTAGTTTTTTTAGCATGTGATCCCTTGAGGCTGGGGCAAATATGCATTTTCACTCATGGTCAGACCCAGGACCCATCCGCCTATAAAGGCACCAGTCCAGCAAGGGTCAGCTCCTTCTCCTTGGAATGCTCTCCGGAGAGCAGGGCCCTCTCTGTTCCCTCTGCTCCTCCTCACCCCACTGCCTAGAGCAAGGCTTGGTGCAATAAACATTTGTTGAACTGAGATGTTCCAAATTGAGATCCAATTTCCCCTTCCCCCCCCCCCACTTGGCGCTAGCATTGCAGGGTTTATCTAAATCACCGTGGATATTATTTATTTTTTAGCTGTTTCCCTTTAGGGTGATGAGTCGTGTTCCCCCTGCATTAGCCGGCGTTTCCTTGGGTGCATTTCCAGGCTGTGGATAGCAGTCCTGGCCTCTTGCCCGCCTCTGCCTTCCCTTTAGCACCCCAGCCCCCAGCCCTGGGACTGGCAAGGGTCGTAACAACTCAATAACAACGATGATAATAATCATACCAAATTCACAATAATCCGTTTTGATTGGTCCCTTCATTATCCTCATTGTACAGGTGACAGGTCAGACTCAGAGAGGACCGGTGAGTGACCCCCTCCAAGGCCACACAGCTAATAAAATGACAGTGAACTGACTCAAACTCATCTTCCCGGCTCCAGAGTCCAAGTCTGCCAACACTGCCCTGCACTGCTTCTTGGAAATGTTTAAAAAATAATAAGTAACACTTACTGAGTGCTCACTAAGTACCAAGTGCCCCACATATATCAACATACTTAATCCTTCTGACAGCCCATTTTACAGACGAGGCAGCAGAGAGAAAGAGCCTCAGTAGACTGCTAAAGCCCACAGGACGTGCAAGGCCTGGATTTGAACCCAGGAGGCTGGGGCCAGAGCATCGTCACCTTAGAGAAGTAGGATATGACCTCTTCACACGCGTAGGTGAACGCATGTATGAGTGGATGAAGGAAGCCACCGTGACCGCTAGTCTCCGCAAGAGACCTTAACACCTCACTTCTTGGCTCTGGGCCTCACTTTACCAATCTGTCCATAAACGGGTTTGGACCAAACACTCTCGGTGGTGCTCCCAGCTCTAGAAGGAGCCTCTTTTTTTCTCCTGCCTCAGTTTCTCCATCTGTCATCCAAGGGAATGGGACCTACATGGTCTCTCAGGCCCTTTCCAGCTCCACAGGCCTATGTTGACAGCACCCTCTCTGTGTTCTCGGCCATGGGTCCAGGATTTTCTCTGGGGCAGAATCCCATTGAACCCAGGAGATAGGTGTTTCATTAGGCCTGTTCTACAAGGCAGAAGCTGGGGCTCAGAGAGGGAAGGCCACATGTTTGAGCTCACACAGCAGTGCATGACAGAGCTGGGCCTGGAACGTGGTCTCTGGCGCCAAAGCTGTTCCGGACGCTGTGCAGCGCTTTTCCTGGATAAGCCCCCACTCGAGGCTTGCTGGGTGCTCTGGTAGGGGAGAGGCCCTCCCAGGCTGTCCCCAGAGCTGAGTAGCAGCCCCACCCTGCTCGGTCCCTCAGAAAATCATTCAGCCACACACACTGTGGGCCGCGCTGGAGACCCTTGATGCCCAGGCTGGGGTCCTGTCAGCCCCCTTGGAGAAGGGAGGCAGACACCTCTTTGGCCAGCCCTTCTCATGGACACCCCTTGGTGCAGTTTTCCAGAGAACTATATCACCTCCAAACCTTCAACCTACCCACATGCGAACCTTAATGGATTGCTGTGGCTAAAATCACTTGGGGGACGCTCAGTCTCATTTTGGGGGTACTTCTTTTCTGGGAAAAACCAATTCATGCAGAACTTAGGCTGCTGGTCTGCAGGATTTCAGGGGTGCATACAGGGTGGGGGGTTTCTGAGCAGGAGCCCACAAAAGACATTCTGAAGAT